CCCTCCTCAGAAAGTCTGACCGGAAGGTGAATACATGGAAAGTCACAACCAGCCAATTCACACAATCTCATCCTGGCCTTCCGAATGAGCTGAGCTATCAACTCTTGTGGCTCAGTGATGGTCTTGGATCTTTGGTGGGAGAGGAGGACCCACTCTATGATCAAGAGTGAATCTTTCTGCCCCTCAATCCACTGGAAAATCAAACCATGCAAATGTGGCAGCTTTCCGAGAACAATGAACTGGAAAGGCATGTTTGGCTCACACCTATCTGCCTCTCTGACAAGGTCTTCTGTACCTTTTCGATTGCTATCTTTGCCTCTGGGGTCAGCTCCTTGGGAGAGGTCAGCCCCCTCTCCCCCTTCAATAAATTGAAGAGAGGGTCTAGATCCTCATTTGTGAGGCCTAGCCAGGGTCTTACCCAATTCAAAGACCCACACCGCGAGTGGAGGTCTGCTAGTGTTCTGGGGTTGCAATTGATCTCCAATTTCTGAGGAACAACGGTCCTTGCAGTGATTTCCAAACCCAGGTATTTCCAAGGTGGCATCCTTTGAACTTTATCTTCCTGCAATTGAAATCCAGCAGAGGTTAAAACCTTAACCACTAGGTCAAGCGTGTGTTGGAGTATAGAGTCATTGGGGGCACACACAAGCACATCATCCATGTAGTGAAGGATGATGGCATCCTTTCTCTCTGCACATACCAGAGACAGTAATGAGGCTACGTATTGTTGGCATATGAAAGGACTTGATTTAAAACTCCGAGGCAGGACCTTCCAGTGATAACGCTTCACTGGGGCTTCCCAATTGACAGTGGGAGCCAAGAATGCAAACCATGGGGAATTTTTGGGGTGCAATGGAATTTGGAAGAAACAGTCCTTGATATCTAGGACAGCCAATTGCCAGTCTGGGGGAGAGCATTGTTGGACTAGGCATCCCTGGTTGGATTAGTCCCATGTCCTCTATAATTTTGTTTATTTCTCGGAGATCATGGAGCAATCTCCACTTGTCTTTCAGTGGTTTCTTTATTCCAAAGACTGGGAAATTCCAAGGGCTATCTGTCTCTTCTATGTGTCCTTGAGCCAATTGTTCCTCCACGAGCTCCTCAAGTGCCTTGAGCTTCTCTTTACTCAAAGGCCACTGTGCTACCCACTTTGGGGTATTAGCCAACCACTTTAACTTGTGGGTAGGGCGCTCCACAGCGGCTATTTCCAAAAATCCTGGGGTGTCTTAGGAATGACCAATTGGACTCTTCACTGGGACATGGTGTCTCTCCCGCAGGGTGGCCTTATAGTCTTCAACGAATGGACAGACACTTGCCAATTTTCCATCAGGTCCCTCAATTTGCACAATGCTTTTTGAAATCTTTGCCAATGTGGTCCCTCCTATGCCCTGAAGTTTGTCAGCCACAGGTTGCAATTCCCAATGTGATGGCCACATGGTCTTAGGTATTACCATGGTGTCCGCGCTCGTGTCTAGGACCCCCTCCACATGGAGGCACTCTGACCCATAGGCTAGGTTGCATGCCATTGAGGGTTTATCCTCTCCCACCACCTCCGCCCAGTAAACTTCTGGTGATTTTCTTTCTGCTGTGATTTCTGCTGAAACGGGAATGGTCTGGGCAAGAATTTGTCCCTTTTCTAGGTAAAATGGTGGGTGCATGCAGCGTTTCAACAACATAAGGCCTGTTATCTTTTCCTTTGTGGTCATGGGAGCTACCTCAGTCTCCAAGGGTGTGTGTGCTGTGTCCCTAATAACAAAATACTCATTGTCTAGTCCCATGTGGTACACCTTCAGTTCCTGTGAGATGTTTGACAGGTCCACTATAATGACTTTCCAGTCAGTAGATCTGAAATGAAAATATTTGGTAGTCACGAGCCGAAAATGGCCTAGCGGCTGCCAAACCTTGTTAATTGAACATTTGACATTTTTATTTTTCCACCCCCCCCCCCCACCGTGGGTCCCGTCCCCCCCCTTATTTGTTGAGAGAGGGGCATTTGCCCGTGTGGGTCCTGCTATATTTATATCTTTGCGCGTAGTTGTGTTAAAAGCGGGTACGCACTATAAATACTGTTTTTTGGTTGTTGAACTTTATCTGATTCTGGTTTAAGGAGGAGGTTCTGTCGCAATGTCCTGGTTTCTTGCAACGGAGGCAGATGATGTGCTGCAGCGGGTCTGGTGACATTGGTTGCCTCCTTGGACCTGGTACCGCAGCTGCCACAGGCTGTGGGTGTGTCAATCCTGTATTTCTGTCAGAAGTACTGGACAGTTCAGCTTTCCTGGTACAGGCTTATATCATCTGTGAAAGACTATGTGATGGGTTGAAAGGAAGGCTGAGAATAATTCTATGACAGGTCTCATTAGCATTCGTCTGAGCCATTTTTTTAATAAATTCTGCCTGCACCACTGGATCTTGTACTTGTCTCTCCACTTGTGTTCTCAGATGGTCCACAAACTGCAAGAAATTCTCTGAAGGAAACTGTTTAATGTTAAGATAAATGCCCTTAGCTTCAATTGTTGGTAGCTGATAAAATGTTTTTTTCTGCAACATTACAGATTTTATCTAAAACTGACTTAGATAACACTTGAGTTTTTTTTTCTGGACAGTGCCAGACACCTTCACCACACAGGTGATCATTTGTAATGGGATTACCATTATTGTCATTTGCTTTATCAGGAGTTGGTTGAATCTCATGTAATACTGATACACGGTAATAACTCCACAACCAAGGGTTGTAAAGTAGGTACGTATTTTATTCAGCACTGGACACAGGGGGGCAAAATCTTCCCAAATCCTGTGTACCCCGGCTTCCCAAATCCCCGTATTTATTCACAAAAGTCATGCATATTCGATAGTTCTTATACATATTCAATCACTATCCCCTCCCATTCTCCGCATGGTATGGAAATTAGCTGTGACTGCGTAGTTCATTCTTTTATTCAGTCAGTGGTCCCAAAAATGAGGCTGGGGTCTGATGAGATGAAGGTGCCATCGTCTTCCTCACTATTGAAGTTTCTAACTTAGATGTCTTCACATGCGCAGTCGACTTTTTGCTTCGCATTTTCATCAAGCTCAGCAATTTTCATCAGAGGCCCCCCTTTTCTTGTCGGCTCAGCACAATTTTGATAGGTAACAGATTTTCTTCAGGGGGTCCATAATGTACACCCTATGTTCCTGCATCTATTGCCTAAATCATTCTAAATTCCCTATTAACCCTTAAATCCCCTGTTTCAATACTGCTGTTAACACCATTTTCCACCTGTATTCCCACAGATCATATTCTGAGGGAGTTAACAGGCATCTAAACAAATCTTTGATATCACTGGGTACCATCTCATTTGAATTAAAGGTTGCCCTCATCATTCCTTTGAAAATCTCACTGGACTCCCAAATTCTCTCTGTATTTTGCAGATCTCCTTTTTATCTTGATAGGATAATGGCTGGTAAGCCCTGGTGCCGTTTCTCTTACCAAGATAAATGACAGGTGCTACAGAGGGTATGCTTTCATCAATATTTTTCTGAATTCCTAAAAATTCTGCTGCTCTTCCAGTGCCCAGGAAGGCAGGAGGTATACCTTCCCCCACCCCTTGGGGTCTGGGAAGAGGCAGCTCTCTTCCCCTTTCCCGGGGTCCCGGGAGAGGCTGCTCACGTCCCCTTGCCACGAGGAAATCGCCCCCCTCACCGGGGCTGTGGGCTGGGCTTGGGTCCCCTCTATCGCCACCTGGATTAGAGGCTGCAAAGGGGCCACCCCCTTCCCTGTTCCCGTGGCAGGTTGGAGGGAGGCACAGGGAGGAAGGATGGGGCTGGACTTCCGAAGGCACAAAAGGATTGGGCAAGGGATATGGAGTAGGGGCGGGGATTGGAGGAAAGAAAAGATTATGGGAAGAAGCAGGGAGCACATGGTGTTCTCCATTGCTCTCCAGCATGTGCTTTGCAGTTCCCAGGGACCCTGTCACATTGCCAGGGCTCTGGGAGGAGAGCATTTGACCTTTGGAGCAGTCAGAACTGTATTCTTGAGAAAAAACAGGTGTGATAGTGAAACACGGATGAAAAATCAAAACCCCACAATTCCAATAAAGATTTTTAGGGAATGGTATGTTTATTCACAGCACTGTGGATGCATGTCAGGACTCATTGCCCTTCAATAGACATGCGTGCCCCTGAGAACTCCGAATCCTTTTTTTATGACCCTTACTAATTTTCATATGCATAGAATTTCACAATAGGTTGATGCATATTCATTCTGCTGATTTCCCATTACACTTACAGCTAGTTACACTTGTACTCTGTTTCTGTCAGAAAGTACAGAAAGAACTCCTGGGTCACTCTGCCCTGTCTGTTTCAAGGTCTGAGGAGTCTTTCTTATCTCTTATATTTTTAATGTGGAAATTTCCATTCTTTTCTCCTCAGCTGAGGCAGTTTTTCTAGTGCTGCAGTTACCAGACTAAACAGCATATTTCACTTATGTAAGCAAGCTCAAAGCAACACATTTCACCTAAATCCAAATGGATTTCTACCCTGTTAAATTTTCACTCTGTCTCAACAGAAGGGTATGAAATGAACAGGGTCTATGCCTTTATTAATAATCAGCTCTTTATTAAAAGTCAGCTCTCCAGGGGTCCCAGGGCACGCCAGCAGCTGGAGGCGAAGAGGTGGGCAGTCCGCATCCGGAGTCCCAGCAGACCATCCTCCCCTCTTTCCCTCCTGGCAGCACCAGGAAGAAGTGTCCTTTGGCTCCTGCTTCCCACAGCCCAGTCCAATCTGGTCCTCTGCAGGTTATGGTGACAGGTTAAACACAGACTAGAGATGGGGTTCCCTTTTCCCTAATGAGCACACCCATCCAGCCCCCTCCACTGTGCCCATCTTTTCCATTTAGGGGTGGTTTTCATCCCCAAAACCCCCTCCCATGATTCCACTGGATTATTTTGCATCCAGGTCCTAGTGTAGGCGGGGTTGTAGGTGATTCCCAGGAGCAATTGACTACTTAACATTTCAATGCCGGTACTTAGCCCAAGCAGAAGTGTCCCAGCCAGGCTGTTTTGTTCATAACAAATCCCTCCTCTTTTTCTTTGATCCGGCTTAAGCCCGCATCAACTTACAGTCTCTGGCTTTTGAGGGTTAGCTTCTTTGGGTAATCCTCCTAATTCCTAGAAACGAAGTAGGACTTAATAATAGTCTAACTAAAAGTTTATTCAGTTGACTTCTTTGGCTAAAGGACACTTATTCTTATTAAACAATTACAAAGTACTAAAACTTCTACTGTGATACTTTTAACTCAGAAACGGTTATTACCACCTTATTGGGTATCAGCTTCTAGCAAGTCTTCTTTAAAGTTAATTTTAAGTCTTCTGGTCCCTTAGTTACCGTCCATGCACAAGAGGAGGTGGGTGACCCCGTTGGGTCTGGTCTGGCGTCTGGGGGTGTCACTGGTCCTTTTACTTTGGTGATATGGGTCCAGCCTTTTTCTTGGGTTCGAACCGCAGTGTGTGTGGTGAGTAACACCTGGAAAGGTCCTTCAAATTTGGGGGTTAGTGGAGTGGTGGTGTTCCAGGATTTTATTAACACCCAGTCCCCGGGACTGATGTTGTGGGCATTGGTATCCAGAGGGGAAGTTTGGGAAAGATACCCCTTCTTTCTGAGGCCTTCTGGGGATTTTCCTATGATTTTTAAATATTTTTGAGCTGCTGCTTCCCCTTCTAAATAATCTGCAGTACTGAAAGGGGTGATTAGAAAAGGGAGTCCAAACATCATTTCATAAGGAGAAACCCCTATGTCGGACCAAGGTCTTGTTCTGATGCGCAAGAGAGGGAGAGGTAAGCACTTGAGCCAATTCATTTTTGTCTCTTCAATTAATTTGCTTATTACATTTTTGAGAGTTCTATTCATTCTTTCTACCCTTCCCGAGCTTTGAGGATGCCATGGGGTGTGCAATCTCCACCTTATCCCCAGGGCTTTTGTTATTTGATGCAAAGTTCGAGCAACAAAATGTGGACCTCGGTCTGAGTCAATGTTATTGACTAGCCCGTATCAAGGTATGATATTTTCTAAGATTATTCTTGCAACTTCTTGCGCGGTTTCCCTTTTGGTTGGGAAAACCTCTACCCAGTGAGTGAGATGATCTACAATCACTAGTAAATGTTTGTACCTCTGCACAGAAGGCATTTCAGTGAAATCCACTTGTATGTTCTGGAAAGGTCTTAAAGCAAGTTCCCCCCCCCATGTGCTGTTTTTCTCATTACCTTTTGGTCAGTTTTTAGACAAATCGCACACCCTCTTGTGACTGCTTTTGCCAGGTCATACACTCCAATACATAAATTCTCCCGTAAAAAGTGGTCACACAAACCTTGGATTCCCCAGTGTGTCAATTCATGTAACTCTACTAGCACTCTTCGAGCTAGGGCTTTATTCAGGAATTTACGCCCATCTGGAGTTAACCATTCTCCCTGTTCCCCTTGATGTAATCTTAGTTCTTTTATTAATTTTAGTTCTTTCTCACTGAACCTTGGCTCTTCTCCTTCTCTACTTGGTCCTGCTTCCATTCTAAAAGCTTTTACTGGGCTTGTTGAGTCTAAGGCTGCTTCTTTAGCTATCTGATCTGCTAATCGGTTTCCCTCTTCTTCTTGAGTATGTCCTTTCTGATGTCCCTTTATATGCACCACAGCTATCTCTGCAGGTTTTTGTAAGGATTCTAATACTAGTTTTATCAGCCTCTCATGCACCAAGTTCTTCCCCTTTGAGTTTAGGTAGCCACGCTCTTCCCAAATTTTTCCGAAGGTATGGATGATCCCAAACGCATATTGCGAGTCTGTGTAAATAGTTCCTTGGTCTCCCTCTAATAGGTCTAGCCCTCTTTTCAAGGCATAGACTTCGCAACACTGGGCTGACCAATTTGAGGGCAGTTTTCCTTTTTCTGCAACTTCCATGCTTTCCCCATCTATGACAGCATACCCTGAAGCTCTTTTCCCTCCTACTATTCTTGAGGACCCATCTATAAAAAGGGATCTCCCATATGGTAGGGGTACCTCCTCTAAATCTTCCCTCACTTTGGTCTGTAGATTTATGAGTTCAATACAATCATGTTCTAGATCAGCCAGCGGTTCTCCAGCAAGAAATTGTGCAGGGTTTAGACATTTGGAGGCGACTAACTCTAGGTCACCTGTGTTCATTAAGATGATTTCATACCTCAATATTCTAGAGTCAGTCAACCACTGCTGAGCTTTTTTGCCTAGTACCGTTTTAAGGTCATGGGGGGTGTGGACCTTGATTTTTCCTTGCAGGGTCAACTTTTGAGCTTCTTCTATTAGGATAGCTGCTGCTGTGATTGCTTGCAGACAAGCTGGCCATCCTCTGGCTACTGGGTCTAGTAGTTTTGAGAGGTAGGCTATTGGCTTTTTATGCCTTCCCCAGTCCTGAGTTAATACCCCATATGCAATTCCTCCTTCTGTGCTCACAAACAGGTGAAACTCTTTCTTAAGGTCAGGCAGGCTTAGAACAGGTGCTGAGGATAGTTTAGTTTTTACATTTTGTAGTTGTTCTTCATCTTCTTTTGTCCATTTTATAGGCTCAGAGTCTACTAATTTATCATAAAGGAACCTCACACTTTTAGTGTATTGATCTAACCACAGCTTACAATAACCAAACAGGCCTAGTAGCTTCCTTACGTCTCTCTTCATCTTGGGAGCTGGGATAGACAGGATACCTGAGATTCTTTCAGGACTTAGTTTCTTATATCCTTCTCCAATTATATGACCTAAGTAGGTCACCTCAGATTCTACAAATTGTAGTTTTTCTTGGGATACTTTTAGACCATTTTCTCCCAGGAAGTTTAGGAGTCGAATACTAGTGGCTTTGACCCGGCCTCGCTCTTCTCCAGATACTAATAAGTCATCTACATACTGTAAGATCTGAACGTTTTCCTCAGGAGTGAACTGCCCCAATAGTTCCTCTAGCGCTTGCCCAAAGAGGTTTGGGGATTCTGTAAACCCCTGTGGGAGACGTGTCCACCTTAGCTGCTGCTTTCTCTTTCTGTCCGGATCTTCCCACTCAAATGCAAACCAGTCACGACATCCCTCTGCTAGCGGGCATGCCCAGAAGGCATCTTTCAAATCTACAACTGTGAACCAGGCATGCTCTCTTGGAATTTGGCTTAACAGGGTATATGGGTTGGATACCACGGGGTGTCTGGTAATAGTTTTTTTGTTTACTTCCCTTAAGTCCTGAACTAGCCTGTATTTCCCTTCTGCTTTTCTTACGGCTAGTATAGGGGTGTTATGGGGGGACATGCATGATTCTAGAATACCTTGCTCTAGTAGTCGTTTGATTACTGGGGCTAATCCTCTCCTGCCTTCAGGGGATATTGGGTATTGCTTGACTCGGATAGGGGGTGTATCTCTTTGCATTTCTACTTTTATTGGTGTGATGTTTAAATATCCACACTTACTTTCTTCCGCCCATACTTTGGGGTCTATTTCTTCTATGTCTCTCTGAGTCAGTCTCATGACCTGGACTACCATCCTTCCATCTCGTGGGATGATCCCTACCCCCAATTGGACTTGTAAGTCCCTTCCCAAGAGATCACTTCCTAAATTTGGCAGATAGATAAAGTCTGCCAAACACTGTCTAGAATTTCCCTTGATTTCTATATTTTCAGCTATAGATGCTTTAAATGGCCTTCCCTCCGCCCCTAAAACCCCACAGACCTTCTTCCCAATGGTGACTCCTATTGGTAACTTGTTTATGCTAGATTTATCAGCCCCTGTGTCAACTAAGAACTCAAATTCTTCATAGTGGGGACCTACTTCAAAGTTTACCAAGGGCTCTTCTTGATGGTTCATTGGGTCCCCTAACTTATAGAGCCCCTGACACCCCTAGTTGTCTCCTCTTGAGATCTCTTCTAAGACTTCTTGTTCTTTCTGCATTGCTTCATCAAGCTGAAACTTTTTACAATTCCTCTTAAGGTGTCCTATCTCATCACAGTAATAGCACCTCCTGTTGCTTTGTGAGGCCTCAGGTTTCCTGAACTCATTAAAGTTCTTATTTGTTTCATAGGATGGTGCTGGTTGGTCTCTACCCCTTTTTGATAATGCCCCTGGTCTATTCCAAGTTGGCTTAGACATCAGTGCTGGTGATTTCTCTGCTCTTATACTTTCTCGAGCAACTGCAACCATAATTCTAGCTTTAGTTTTGGCCTTTTCTTCGTCTCTCCTTAAATATATTCTTAGGGCTTCTTTGAGCAACTCATTCATGTTCTTTTCTTGCCAGTCATCCATTTTTTTGAGCTTTCGTCTAATATCAGGCCATGATTTAGTGACAAACTGGACTTTTAAGAGGACTTGACCCTCTGGGCTATCTGGGTCTATATTTGAATATAACTGGAAATTTCGTTTTAGTCGGTTAAGCCAAATTGCTGGGGTCTCATCTTTCTCCTGAGTACTATCAAAGGCCAATTTTGTGTTGCTTCCCCTAGGGATAGACTCTTTGATTCCTCTCATCATGAGGGACCTATAGTCTCTCATGTTTTGCCTTCCTTCTTCCTGGTTAGGATTCCAACTGGGGTCTACTAAGGGTATCTTTTGGTCCCCTGGGGGTCCCAGTCTATTTTCTCTTTCCCATATCTTCACCCCTGCTGTTCAGATCATCCGGATCTCTTCTGGAGAGAACAGGATGCTTAGAATAGAGTTCAGCTCTCCCCAGGTGTAAATATTTGGTCCTAAGAATTGGTCTAACTGATTAGATATTCCAACAGAGTCTTCTACCAAATTTCCTAGCTCTTTCTTAAATCCCCGAACTTCAGAAGCAGTCAAAGGTGCATCTACGAACCCAACTCCTCCCACTGCCCCACCCATAGGCACTTCTCTAAGGGTAAAAAGCTTTTCTACCCTTGGTACTTTGGATCGTGTGTTACAATATGGCCCTTCTCCTAAGACACCAGGTGGGGAAATAGTAGTTGGGGAGATGGTTGAGGGAACTGGGGGAAGGGATGATGGAATAGGAGGGGCCGAAGGATTAGCTGGGGAAACGGTTGGGGAGGGAGCAGGAGTAGAGTGGGGTAGGTATTCAAGGGGGTCCCATTTTTTCCTTTTTCTAGTCTCTTTTTCTCCATCCTCTTCTTCTCTATTTCTTTGTAACTTGCATATTCTCACAGTCTCATATTTTCTAGAGTTTTCCAGCCAGCAAGCTGCATAAGATAATTGTTCTACATCAGGGTCCTCTTGGGCTTCTAGGTGTTGGTTTAACTGATTACACATCCACTGATCTTGGGTTCCATACCATGGCCACTCTCCCTGTAATTTTAACTTCGGCCATACTTCTATACTGTAGTGTATCATCTTACGCTTATCCAGACCCTTTGTGGTTTCGCAAGAATCCCATTGGTCTAACAATTTCCCCAAGGGGCTGTTAGGAGGAATTCTCTTTGCTTTTTCTTCTGAAGGATCCGCTCCTTTGCTATAACCTCTTCCCATTTTCAGGCCTCAAAAAGAAGAAAAAAAAAATATATATACCTTAGATTATGTCTCTCTCTAAAATGGAATATTCTGATATGCAACAAAAGTTCATCTGGCTCCTTCCCAAACCTTAGTATTTTAAATCTCTTGACTGAATTTCATTTTTTCTAGCTAACCTTCCACTCCTGGCATTTATCCCTGTCTCTTGCCCAGGATAGCCACTAATCACACTCACATATATTGTCTTTTGTTTTCCTGTTCTTTCTGGACTTCATGATGGACTTCTAAGGCTTGGACCCTGGGTAGGTCTCGCCCTAGTTCTTTACTTGGCCTTTTGCCCAACCTCTTTACTAGACTTAGGAAGTTGGTCTCCCTGCCGAGGTAAGGTCGAACGTCCTGCCGAGCCTTACACTCGAACTCCGGCCAAGTCCCTTCGCCTGACTCCTACTAGGCTTAGGAAACTTGGTCTCCCTGCCGAGGTAAGGTCGAACGTCCTGCCGAGCCTTACACTCGAACTCCAGCCAAGTCCCCTCGCCTGACTCTCCTACTAGGCTTAGCCTGCTTGCCTTTCTACTCGCTTCCTTACTTGATTACTTACTCTGTCTTCCCCGACATGCCTCCTGTCTGCCAGAACATGTACCCTGCCTGCCAGGACCTGCCCCCTGCCTGCCAGGACCTGGCCCTGCCTGCCAGAACATGTACCCTGCCTTCCAGGACCTGCCCCCTGCCTGCCAGGACATCCCACCTTCTTGCTAGGACCTATGCCCTATCTGCCAGTGCGTGCTCTCTGTCTGCCAGGACACGCCCCCTTCTTGCCAGGACCTGTCCTTTGCCTGTTATTAATTGCCCTACCTGCCAGGACCTGCCCCCTGCCTGCCAGGACCTGGCCCTGCCTGCCAGAACATGTACCCTGCCTTCCAGGACCTGCCCCCTGCCTGCCAGGGCATTCCCCCCTCTTGTTAGGACATGCCCTACCTGCCAGGATCTGCCCCCTGTCTGCCAGGACACGCCCCCTTCTTGCCAGGACCTGTCCTTTGCCTGTTAGGACATGCCCCCCTGCCCGCCAGGACATGCCCTTTGCCCATTAGGACATGCTCCCTGCCTGCCAGAACATGTCCCCTTCCTGCCAGGACATGCCCCTTGCCTGTTAGGGCATGCCCTCTGACTACTAGGACATGTCCCCTGCCTGCCATGACATAACCATGCCTGCCAGGACATGCCCTCTACCTGCCAGGACCTGGCCCTGCCTTCCAGGACATGATCCTGCCTGTCAGGACCTGCCCCCTCCCTGCCAGGAGATGCCCTCTTCTTCCCAGGACCTATACCCTATCTGCCAGGACATGCCCCTGTATGCCAGGACATGCCTCCTTCCTGCCAGGGACATCCCACCTGCCCTGCTGTGGACAACTCCCTTGCCCTGATTGCCAGGGACTTACTTTATCCCAAGAGAATCTCCACATGCCCAGAGGAGGGCCTTAACCTCTAAGGAGAGGCCTCAGTCTCTCTGTTTCACTCACTTCCCCCCGTTCCCGGCCGGCCCCTTCGCAGGAGTCCGGAAACGCGGTACTAGGGGTCCCTCTCACTTCGGGGGTCCGAGCTGCCGGCCCCCGTCTCACTCATTCACTCATTCGCTCGCCTCCCAGTTTTTCTCACCAATCCGTCGTCCCTCCGCGCTGCTTCTCTGCCTCCGCGTTGCTCCTCCACGTGGCTCAGGGTCCGGTAGCCAGCAAGCACCGAGGGTCCCTCGAAGCAGATGGTCGAGCTGTCCAGCTGTCCAGGGTTCCTCTTCGGGCGTGGCTATCCCGGACAAGCCCCCAAATTGAAATGAACAGGGTCTATGCCTTTATTAATAGTCAGCTCTTTATTAAAAGTCAGCTCCGCAGGGGTCCCAGGGCACGCTAGCAGCTGGAGGCGAAGAGGTGTGCAGTCCGCATCCGGAGTCCCAGCAGACCATCCTCCCCTCTTTCCCTCCTGGCAGCACCAGGAAGAAGTGTCCTTTTGCTCCTGCTTCCCACAGCTCAGTCCAATCTGGTCCTCTGCAGGTTATGGTGACAGGTTAAACACAGACTAGAGATGGGGTTCCCTTTTCCCTAATGAGCACACCCATCCAGCCCCCTCCACTGTGCCCATCTTTTCCATTTAGGGGTGGTTTTCATCCCCAAAACCCCCTCCCATGATTCCACTGGATTATTTTGCATCCAGGTCCTAGTGTAGGCAGGGTTGTAGGTGATTCCCAGGAGCAATTGACTACTTAACATTTCAATGCCGGTACTTAGCCCAAGCCGGAAATGTCCCAGCCAGGCTGTTTTGTTCATAACAATGAATTCACCCTCTTTTCCATGGTTTGGATTGCTGCTTTAGTAGTACCTGGAAAGGACTTCTTAATAACAGTGTTAAAAGAAAAACAATACTGCATTAACTTTTACCATTAGTTTTCTTCAAAACTTTCTGGGTTTAACTAAAATATTTTTCTACAGCTGCTTCTTCTTCTTGTATCCAGCTGTGTTAATAGCTGCAGAGGCTAATTCTTCTTCCTATGAGCTATAATTAGTTAAATAAAAAGACTAGGCCAAATTTAACGCGAGATGTATCACATCTCTTGCTTTTTCCTTTTTAGGCAACATCTAACTATTTTAGTCTTACAGACCCATTCTTCAGAACAAAAGCCTCCTCTTCTTAACAACAGCAATCAGAAAAAAAAAAAAAAAGTCTTGTTTAAAAAAATAAACTGCTTTGTGAGAGTCAGCTATCTTTGCTTTTATCTTATCTCTACTGGTGGTCCGCTCTCCGCCTTTTTCACAGCCTTGCATTTGACTCTGTCACTCGCCACTCCCCCGCCCTTGTTGTCACTCTATCTAGCAGGAATGGGGGAGTGTCGCCCTGATTCTTGAGTTTTCTTAAGCCTTCTGAATTTACATTCTATTGGGAAACTTTCCCACACAGTTTCTGTAAATAGCGTATTGTTTTGCATTCCTCCTTGGGGGTGGAGAGACTTGATGTACTAGTGCTTTGTCCAATGTCTTCGGAGAGGTGGCCCGTTCACTCTCCAATCCACTGTCACCTTTGGAGAAGTATAAAAGTTGGAGTCAGAAAATAAACGCTCTTTTTTTTGCCTTGCAAGGTAGCAAGTGGCTCGCGTTGTGCTTTCTCGTGTCCTATAGCGACATCTGGTGACCGCTGAAGTGTATTGCAGCTTAGGCTGGGAACTGTTGGTGAGATTTTTCTGTTTGTTTAGAGCGTTGCCTGTTGCTGGTTTTTTTTGGTAATGGAGAGCTTTGAGGGCATTAGGGAGGAGTCTGTGGCTTTGGACGTTTGGAGGGAGGTGCTGAAGCGGAAACGCGTTCCTTTTTATTGGGATGATTTTGAGAGGCTGTTTTTATGGGCAAGGGAGCAGGGATTCTTTCCCAATCTTGCTGAGGCCCTTTCCTGGGAGAATTGGTCTCCCGTGGGAGATCGCCTCCTGGATGCCCTGCTTGATAATCGTTTTGAAGATGTTGGGCCGCTGATGATGCTGTTTAAGAGGTTGGATGCCATTTGGCAGGGGTCTGAGGTTGGCAGTTCTCGGGCTTCTCTGGGGGACCTATCTGTCTTGGATGCGGATGCTGGGGAAGCCGAGTCTCTGTACAGTTGCCCTGATTCCCCTAGCCCCGGGGGGAGTGAGCCGGAAGGTGGCTCCTCCTCTGGTGTGGCTCGGGCTCCCAGGCCACTGGCTTCAGGCATCCGGTCGGTGGAGCCGGTTCGCCCGCCTCGCCCTGCCCCGCGTCGCAGGCGTAGTGGGCTGGGCGGGAAAGCACTTTCTCTTTGTGCTTTCCCGGCGCTCGGGGGTGAACGGGGGCCCGTGGATCAGCCCCCGCCTCGGATTGCGTCTGACTCGGTGACGGTGAATTGCCCGAACTGTGGTGTTACATTTCCCCTGGAGAAGACACAGGCGCATTCGCCCGGTCCGGTCTGGGGTTCATCTTCTGAGGAGGAACCCGCTCCGATCCCTGAGCCTGCGCGGCCTGCCGGGCATGCGCAGGCGGTGGGGGCCGCCAAAGGCGGGGCCTTGGTCACTGTTCCATCGGACCCCGCCCCGGCAGGCGGGCAGCCCGCCCCGTCCCGCCTGATGGGGGCGGTGCCCACCGGGAGGCTGCGCGGCGCGGGTCTGACGCTTCTTGGGGGCGTGCCAGACTCCCTTGTGTCGTCCTGCGGTGACGTGTCTCCGCGCGCCGCGTCTCCCTCTTCGCCCCGTCCTTCCCCCGTCCCGGGGGATGGGAGCGCTGCGCTGGGGTTGCGGTCTGCGCCTCCGCCTGCGCCCGCCGCGGTGCCCTCTGCTGATACTGCAGACAGCACCGCTGGGGCACCGGCTGGTTCGGTTCCGCCTTCCCCGCCTGCCGCGGGGGCCGGGACTGCGGCACAGCGGGGCGCTGGGGTGTTCACCTTTAGCGCGACTGCTGACGTGGCCGGCGGGAGACCGGTGACTCCCCGTGGCCGCGGATCCTCCCAGTCGACCTTGTGGACCCTCCCTGCCTGCCAGGTGACCGTGCGTCCGAAGGACCACGGGCGGTTTTGGCAGGAGGTCCTGGATAAGGCTGAGGAGATGTGCGACTTCGGCCCCTCGCGGAGCCTGCCGGATCAAGGGGAAGGCTCCTCTGGCTCTGCTGATGCTGCGGGGGGCGTGGTGTCCGGTGATGTTGCACCGCCTCGCAGCCCAGGGGCTGCCAGTGTCCCGGAGGCTACGGGACATGATACAGTGGATAATGCAGCCTTACCAGGGGGTCCTCAGGCTTTCCCTGTGCTTAGGGGTGTTACTCATAACACTCATGAGCCTTTTTCATTTAAGGTGTTGAAGGAAATCCAAGACACCGTTGCACAGTATGGTGTTGGGTCTGCTGAGGTTATGCAGACGATCCGATTACTTGTTGCTAACCTGCTGACGCCTTTCGATATTCGTTCTGTGGCTCAGGCTCTTTTTGACCCTGTGCAATTTGACGTGTTTGAGGACAAGTGGGCCGCTTTAGTGGCCAGTGCAGTACGGAAGAATGCTACGCGGGGGCAGCAGGATCCCAGACGTGTAGCTACCGCCGACATGTTGATGGGCACAGGTAATTATGTTGATCCTCAGGGGCAGGCGGGATACAATCTTCTCGTGCTTGAGCAGTGCAGGACGTTAGGCTTAGCAGCTGTGATCCAGACCTTAGAAATGGCTGCCCCGATGGAACCCTTTCTGACTGTTGTTCAAAGGGCCGATGAGTCATTCATGCACTTTGCATCGAGGTTGACTGCCTCGGTGGAGCGGCAGGTGGTAGAACCTGAGCTAAGGCGAATGGTCCTTGCGAGATTTGCTAGGATCCACTGCAACGCAGAATGCAAGAGAATCATACAGGCTCTTCCTGAAGGGGCTACACTTTCACAGATGGCAGCGGCCTGTGCAGACCTAA